GTTTGGCAAAATTAATATAAGCTATTCTGTGTCTTAAGACAAGTTAAGTTAGAAGAAGTTCAACAAAACATCTTTATTATATTTCTACGGTAGAGGAGAATAGCCAAACCAAAAAGAAACAAAGAAAACACAATGTAACATTCATGAAACCGTACTCAATGGAACGCGCGCATGTGACTGGGGCTAGTGCCATCTAGTGGTCGCTGATGTTCTGTGTCTCAGCTGCTCGTGGATCGCGAGCTGTGTGTGTGTGGATTGCGCAAGGCTAAAAGGGCGGAATGAAAGTCTCAAAATTCAAATGAATCAAATAGAATCGACTCAGAAGAGACGTGAATGAATGCACGCGTGTCACCTGATCCACGTATGCACGGATTCATTTTTGCATGAGCAATTTATGATATATTAATGCAGAACAGAACATTTTTATACACAAACATGTCTGTATTTGTTCAAATCGCTGCACAATCATTTAATCCCGAATTCCACAGACTCAAACTGAAAGGCATTTGTTTGTGGTTAGTAAGATACATGTATAAAATGCATGCAGTGCATGGATAATTGTGCGTGCATCTATTAATCATTTTGAGTCTAATATCATCCCATAGAATTGGCCCCTAAAGCCTTGTTTTGTGCAGTTTTGTTTTGAATAAACAAAGTAAAATATACACAAAACACTATTACAAATTGAGTAAAAGGGTTGGAAGTTACTGGATTTATTGCTATACGCTGTTATAGATGTTTATGACTGAATGTTGGCTTGCAATCATTGTTTAATTTATTGTTTCATACAAATTAAAGCGAAAACATTTGTTTGATGATTTTTTCTTACAATAATTTGATCAACAGGTGGAAGCCTGATAACTCATGTTGTTAGGTCATTCACAATTAGCAGAATCCCAGCCCATGAATTAGAAATATGTTTGCATCTTCTTAAGTTTGGCAGCAGTATACTGCATAAATGCAAAAGAGACTAATTTACCAAAAGATCACACTTGTAGATACTACTATTAGTAGGCTATAGTAATCTAAAGCTAATCAAAAAGAGTAGACTACATGAAGGCAAACATATTGCCTTTATGAATACTGACTGTGATATGGTCAGTGACAAGTAATATCTTACTTGCTCGTTAAATTATAAGTTAAATAAGTTACATTTAGCATGTGCTATGCTAGCTGTTGATTTTAACTGAATAAATATAAGATTAATTTCCAGGGCCACAATGCCATTAGTTGGAGCAACTTAATTGTTTGAATAATCAACTTATTTGTGTTTATGCCACAAATTAAGTTCTTCTAACACAATGTATGGTAGTAGATTTTATGAAATCATTAGAAGTCTTCATAACTCAAAATGAGTGATGTGTTGCATTAATTTTTTTATTTATTTATTAACTTTTGTATAGTAAGTAACTTCTGGGCTAACTGTAAAAGTTTTGCACACAAATAAATTAACATTATTTTTTAAATGTGTTTAAAATGATGTGCACACATGGAATTAAGACATTTTTATTTAATAATTAAATTAAATTAATAATAATAATAATTTATGCATTTAGCAGACGCTTTTATCCAAAGCGACTTACAGTGCATTCAGGCTACACGTTTTTTATCAGTATGTGTAAATTTATTTTATTTTATTTTATTTTTTAAAGCTGTTTTAATGTAGGCTACTTGGTTCATGAGCACTGTTATGAGTTCAGATGAGCCATCAAAACTGCCATGCCAGTAGGTGTCAGTATAATATGGAAGCCCATTTCCGCCACTGAATAAAAAATAAAAAAGGTAATTGTGACTTTTTATCTCACAATTCTGCCCCCTTTTCACAATTTCGACTTTACATCCCGCAATTCTGACTTTTTTTCTCAGAATTGAGACATAAACTCGCAATTGTGAGAAATTAAGTCAGATTTGTGAGATATAAACTGTCAATTCAGATTTTTTCCCCCTCAGAACTGCATGATATAAACTCGCAATTGCAAGTTATAAAGTCAGAATTGTGAAATATAAACTCGCACTTCTGAGAAAAAAGTCAGAATTGCGAGATGTATACTCGCAATTGCGAGAAAAAAAGTCAGAATTGTGTGATAAAAAGTCACAATCACCTTTTTCTTTTTTATTCAGTGGCGGAAATGGGCTTCCATAGTATAAAGTCCAAGACAACTGGATTAAAAAAACTGCTTGTGTGCCTAAATTTGTTGGCTGTTTATTTGTTAAAAACATAAATTAAAAGAAAGAAAGAAAACAGTGATTTGTTAGTCACTGTTAATTAACTACAATATTTATGGTTGTTGATATTGTACAACATTAAAATAAAAGCAAAATGAATGGAATAATATCTGATAATGCTTTGACACATCATAAGTGGTGAATCCTAACTCATACAGTATATTCAGCAGTTTCAGGTCTCTAGGTGTCTGTGTGGTTGTCTCCCCAAGTGTGTTTGTTTTTGTTTTTCAGAGTCCACTTTGCTGGCCGGATTCCCAGGGAACAGGTAGCATTTTCTGTCTATTGAAGTTGTATTTCTCTTACTCTTTTCTTCTACATTATCTCTGCTCTAATCCGAGTTAGTCCGGTGTGTTTGCTCCTCTTGGTCTTGATTTCTGCATGTTCTCTGGATTACATCTTTTTGATTCAGGTCTCAGTTTGATTGCCTGGTCCATTCGCTCTTCTGACGCTGACGACTCCTCTGCTCTTTGGTTTACCCTCTTGGATTAGCCCACTATATCTGCCATCTCTCTGTGCCATTTCTCCTTGGTGCCTGCTGTACTGGCCCTTTCCTTTGTTTCCAAGTGAGCTACCTTGTTTTTGTTTTCTGTCTTCTAAGATTGATTTGAATTTTTGACGTGTTTAAAAAGAAAGTCCTGCTTTGCCATCAGTCTGCTCCTGAATCCTTTGTCGCTCTGACAGAATTGCAATCATGGAAGAAATATATGGAGAAGTTTTAAATCTCTTCACTAAAATGTGTACAGTATGTACCCTGTACAGTACAACAAGACAGAATGGCAGAATTTGAGGTAATATGTCAGAGTCAAAGGTTAGTGACAAAGTCAGCATTTTGTGCCAGAAGTACTTTGAATTTGGTAAATATCCAATATAAATTAAGCAGGTTAATTTATGGTTGCAGATGGCAGATGTTTTGGTGAAGATCAAGTAGGAGTACACACTGCTGTTTGAGGAATTCCACAGCACTCCAACTGTGGGATATTTAAAACCTTGAACGCATTGTGTGCCAGGCATTACTGGCCAGGGATGACCATCATGGACATTGAGAAATGGGAAATAATTACATATTCTATTGCACATGTAATTAAGCTTTTACCAATCATACAGTGTTTTTGCAACTGTTGCGTTCCACTGTGTGTTGAAAAGTATGGTAAATTGTAGGAGGAATCGAGCGAGGAATGGAATAGATATGTGGTTCCTGCAGCCAGGAAGCCACACTGCCATCCCATAGATACCTGCTCCATTTTTCCCTGAGGTTCATGACAAGATTTGGCAGTCTTTGTGCTCCCTTAATGATAACATAAGAGCATGTCTACTGCATTTGAGGTCATGCAATAGCAAAAATGTAAACCCACCACAATTTTTAAAAAATAAACTGGGGAACATGAGAAGTTTATGAAAATCAATTCCAAAGTCAGGGAAAGACCCAATAAGTATTGAAAACTGGAGTCGCATATCATGCGTTAACAAGGATGCTAAATTGTTAGCGATTATACAGTATTTGCTGAGAGGCTTTGTTTGGATATATTTATTGATGACTGCCAATTGGGATTTATGTGTTGCAAGTATATTGGAAACAATATTCATCTTGTAAGCAATTCCTAACAGCCAATCTTTATAAAGTGTAATATGTGTACTTTGGAAACAGGTTAGTATTTTTTTCCTTTGACAATGAAGAAGGTTTTTATATAATGAAAACTGATTAAAGATGTGGAGGATGAGCTTCCCTTCCTTACTAATTGCAGCAAATATGAGGCCATTAGAAAGAGTTTATTGTTTATCGTTTATTGACATTTTCAACATCATTGCAAGTACTTAAGAGCACTAATGTAACATCAGACAGTCCATGTGTGATTTCTAAAATCCGTTCACATCAATATTCACTAAATTCACTTTGTCAGTGGTGACAAAATGTTATATCTTTTTGGAGAGAAGGCAGCACAGTCATCATCTGAATTAGAGAGAGTGACTGCTCGTTATGGAAACTCTTACACCATGTCTACACTGCATGTGTCCGTTGTTGCACATGACAACTTGCAGCAGTCTACAAGAAGGTGTCAAAGGTTCCAGATTCATTTGTCCTGTTGTCTAAATTAGATTCAGAGTAAGTCAGAAATTTTTACTGCCTATGACTGACTGTAATGGGTTATGTGCTTTTGAAGAGGCACT